GGGAGGCATTCGACTACGAGCTTTTTCGATCTCAATGTCGATATGCCTTCCAGTTCAAGGGGAAGATGTGCAAGTAGTAGGTTCTTCGACCTAAATGTGGAGAGCATGGAGGAACCATCATCTCCACCAGAAGAACCGCTTCGTGAGCCTGGTGCGGATGGTGCTGAGACTGGACTATTCATTCACCTAGAATCACCGCAATTCAACTTCAATGATGATGAAGTTCTAGGAAATGAGGCACAAACTGACCCTCCTGTACACATGTATGAAGTTGATTATGGTGCAATATACGGGCCAGAATTTGCGGATATGCCTCATCTCGGTGACTATGGATATTACTCATCAATAAATAATGGTGAGTTATATTTAGGCATGGAGTTTTCAAGCAAAGAAGAAGCGGTGATGGCTATAAAAAATTACAATATCCGTAATTTTGTTCAGTCCAGAGTCAATCGATCGACGACCGAAAAATATGTATGTTATTGTGCCCGACGTGAAAACGGATGTAATTGGATAGTTCGCGTATCGAAAATGAAGAGGAAAAACAACATATGGAACTAACAGTATACAACGATCCTCACATATGTTGTGTTAGAGGGGTCAATCAAGATCATCCCAACTTGGACTCTGAAATGATATGCCAAGCCATTATACCCATGGTAAAAAAAGCTCTCATATAGCTGTTGCAGTGTTGATTTCAGCTATACAATCGCAGTATGAGTACACTGTCTCCTATAAAAAAGCTTGGTTGGCAAAACAAAATACTATTGTCAAACTTCATGGCGAATGGGATGCATCTTACAACAAACTTCCAGGTTGGTTTAGGCTGGTGCGGACGTTGAATCTTGGGACAATTGTGGACTTCGAAACCTCCTATGCATACCATAATGATCGAGTTCTTCGCGATTAAAGCCAATTCTACCGGGTTTTTTGGAGTTACCCACAGTGCGTTAATGCTGCCAAATACTGCAAGCCTATGGTCCAGATCGATGAGACTTTCTTGTATGGAAAATACAAGCAAGTTTTATTATTGGCAGTTATCCAAGATGACAATCGCAACATTCTTCCAATTGCTTTTTCTCTTGTCGAATGAGAAGATACAAATTCTTGGGCTTTTTTCCTCCGAAATTTACGTGCACATGTTATCACGAGGGAAAACATATGTGTCATTTCAGATCGCGGAGCTGGGATCAAAGCAGTAATGGAGTCTTTGGGTCCAATGTGGCAACCACCCTTTGTCCAACATAGGTATTGTCTCCGACACATTGTTGCGAACTATCATGAAAGGTACAAGAAGAATGATGAGCGTCAATTAATTGTGCGCATGGGTAAGTGAAACTTATGTAGTTTGTTTTCTTTCAATCGTTCTAATTTTGCAAAGAAAGCAAGTTAGTAAGTTATACATTTTTTGATCAGGTTACGAACTACTTCCTCGAACGTTTGAATCAATGCTTCAAGATTTGCGGGTGAAGAACGAGGAAGGATACGATTACATCAGTCTCATCGATAAAGAAATGTGGACGAACGCATATGATGGTGGATATCGATATGGACACATGACAACCAACTTGGCAGAGGCAATCAATTCAACTTTAAAGGGTGCACGTCACTTACCAGTAGCGGCTTTGGTAAAGACTACATATTTTCGTTTGGGGGCGCTTTTTGCGAAGCTCGGGGGACAAGCTCAAACCTGGATGCAAGGAGGTCATGTCTATCACCTTAGATTAGTTGCAGATCTACAAAAAAAATTACTGCATCAAATGGAATGTCTGTAATAAGCTTCTCTAGAAGGTATAAAATGTTTCGTGTCACAGAGGTGTCGCGACCTCTTCAAGGGATTGAAGTTGTGTCGTTAAGAGTAAATCTAAGGGACAGAACGTGCGACTGCTGGTTTTTTCAAGCTCTGAAGTATCTATGCTCTCATATGATAGCAGCTTGCTCGCATACACGTCAAGACTATAACCATTTTATGGATCTCGTATACCTACTATATGAAGTTTTTAAAGTATACAAATTTGAGTTTCCCCCCATAGGTAATGACAAAGACCCTGATAAGGTTCAAGATTGGCTTCCGATTGTATCAAATCCGAGTTTATTGAGGGAGCGTGGTCGTCCAAAATCCAATCGAATTCATTGCGATATGGATATTCGAGAAAGATTTAGACAAGACAGAAGATGTGGGCATTGTAGAAACCCCAGGACACACTAGAAAAATATGTCCACTTCTGTTGCCATCAAGTAACAATTGATAAGGAAATGATGTATTTGTTTATCAAATAATAATTCTTGTACTTTGATTTGCATTTACTTCAAGTTAATGTCATTCGATAATCGCTGATAAAGATTAGAAAAATGAACACAATCATTAAATTTTATCAAACTAATAACAATTTGGTATTTGAATATAATTTTAAATACAACAAACTTACAATAAGAATTAAATGGTAAATGATAACCAAATTACAATAACTGATATTAAATGGTAATAAACAAAATTAACTGAAATATATTAAAAAAATCCAACAAATTTAACAAAATAAAGTAAGTATTAAATGAGAAATAATAAAAAATTACAATTTAACAAAATAAAGTAAATACAAATATAATAAAAAAAATCTATCGATGCCTGCGACGCGAATGTGTTCCACAGGGCGGTGGCTGTCGGTCTCGAGGAGGATTTCTTCGTATCACTGGTTCTGACTCCTCGCTGTCATCATCATCACCATCGTCGTCGTCGTCGTCATGAGCAGGTATATTAGGTTGATGAGGAGCTGATGATGATGAAGCACCTCCATAGAATAAGGACCCTGGAGGTGTATGACTGACTATCCCACTGGCCTGTGAAAACTGGGAAAACTCATAAAACCCAGACATCGCTGAGTGTGAAAATTGTACAGGAGGTGTTTGTGCTGCGGCCATGGGTGATGAGGCTAAACTCGCCAGATATCCAGCATATGAACCACAAGTCAGATCTACAAACATAGACCCATAATAGCCTTCAGGAGGAGTCATCTATGACAGTGGCGGCGGCGGGGTCATAAAACCAGGTGAAGGCGGCGACGCCATCTGGTAATGGAAAGGCGGCAGCATCATATATGGCTGCGACATCATAAATGACTGCGGTGGCTATTGTGTCAGTGAACGTCTCTGTCGACGTCGCGAAAAGGTATGCCCTCGTGCATCCTCGGGAAGCAGAAACGGTTTCCCGTTACTGTTGAACCACTCATAATAACCTTCAGCAACACTCAAGAGGTCAAGTAAAATGGGCTCTCTACGGGGAAGGCGCCGATGTCGATCATCTCACAACACGACCCACTCATGATGTCTCACCAACCAATTTGTATCTGTCTTGCCGCGTCTATCTAAGCTATGTAACTCGTTCATATTGCGAGGTGCTTCCGGAATTGGTTGAAAACAACCAAACTGCCGAAGCACACGATCAGTAGAGTGCCACTCGACGGTCGCATAACATATCAGAGGGACCATCGCCATCCAAACATCTGATGGGCCCCTTAACTCAAGTGGGATCACCGCCCTCACATCATTAGTACAATATGACACCCATTCAAACTAAAACAAATATTATATAATTTTTTTTTATCAAAATAATAATCTAATTATATAACTATAATCTAAAATCGATTTTTAAACATTAAAATTCATACCTGTGTGCAAGCCTTCTGATCGATTAGCACCCTAATTTTTTCTAAATCATCAGGTAGCTCCTGATGATTTTTCCTATCAGTAGACCACCTATTCAAGGAAAAAAATTATTATACGTTGTATAAAATTATTAATATACAAAATCAGTTTTATAATTACCTCAGAAGTAGTGGAAATACGAATGGGTTCTTCACAACGGGACATAAAAAGGGCAATCGATACCATGCCCAAGATTACAGCAGGAGGAGACATCTGCCGATAGCATTACGCCTGTAGTCAGTGGATCCACACATCTCCCTGTACAGCAAAGTCAAAACTGCCGAGCCCCAACTAAATAATCCGGCCAGACGAAAGTCGCTAAGATGTCGCAACCACATACAGTGAACTAGGTTGCGCGATTTATCCGACATCAGCAATCGTCCTATCAACTGCAGTATGCATGCCCGTGCATACATCTTAACTTCATCCTCAGAGGCGTCTGCGTTCAACTCCCGAAAATTGGCATCTAACCAATTTAACGGTATCCTACCTCCGATAAAACTTTCTGGGACACGTCTTATATTATCTCGGCACAAAATAGTCCAGGAACCCTGCGAGATCCCTGATATCACATCTCCATCCACCGGAAGCCCTAGGTGCATAGCAACATCCTCAAGTGTAATCGTGCACTCTCCGCACGGAAGATGGAATGTGTAGGTCTCCGGCCTCCACCGCTCTACTAAGGCATAAATAAGGTTTGGTTCTATCTTAGAGTGACCCTGATATCTACCTATGTAACTAAATCCAGCCTATACTAAATACGGCAAGACACGGCTAGGTATCACTAACTTAAGATTTCTAATAAAAGGATCTAATACACGGTCCTTCTCCTAAAATTAAATAATTACACAAATTAATTCTTAATCTAATAATCATGCATTAAATAAATCAACAAATTATTACAAATAATTTAAATTAAATTAAAACGTTAAAATGTTACCGTATCATCAAAGTGTCGACATATATGATTTCCATCCAAGCGAAGTAGACCGCCTTCCATTATATATCTGTAAAAAAATTATATTAGTAAAATATTAAATAAAGAAAAATACTTAAATAAATTAAATACATAATATTAAAAATATTATAAAATATACCTTAAATAGAGAGAGAATTTGAGAGAATTTGAGAGAACTTGAGAGAATTTGAGAGAATATGGTGTGATGAAAGTAATAGAGGATCGGGATATTTATAGGGAGGATTGGGGGGTAATTAAAGGTATAGTGTGCCCCCTGTACCGCGCTATACCCCACGTGTCAGATAAACAGCTATAGCGCAGATCAGGTGCTGCGCTATACACACGTGTAAGCTATGTCAGCGTATAGCGCGGTACAGGGGTGCGCTATACCCCATGTGGCGCCAAATTAGCATATAGCGCGGGACAAGGAGCGCGCTTTACTGTTACGGGTGTTAGATCGAAAAATATAATCTGACAGGTGTTAGATCGATAAATATACCGGTCACCGGTGATTTTTCGAGAAAAACGCCTCAATCCCCACCCATTGTTTAGGTATTTGTTATTTTCTATTGAATTAAACTAAAATACCCTTAAAACAAAAGACTTATTTCAAAAATATTTTTTACTTTATTTCAAAAGTTATAATATCTTTACCTTCCCATCCCAAACCTGTTAAAATTTTCCCAAACCACATCTATATTTTTCTTTGTTTTGCTATCCAAACCTATTATATATTCTATTTATTTATTATCATCACTTTTAATCTACTCATTTATCTTTTAAATTTTATAAAAAAATTATGAATTTAAATTTAACAAAAATATATAAATTAAAAATAATACAATAATATAATTTTATGAAATTTTATATAAATATTTTATTTGAATATTCATAATTCAACTTGTTAAAAAATATTACAAGGATAATTTGATAAAATATATATTTTAACAATTTTTTCTTCCTTTAACCAAACAATGTAATTTTACATTCCTGTCAAACAAACCAATAATAATAATGTAACATTCCCAGTAATGTGTCAGATAATATTACATTCCGATGATTTTATTTTCGAAGATAATGTTACATTTCATGAACCAAACGCCCCTAAAGATATATGCCAATTACTTTGTGGGATTATTGTGTTCATACTCAATAATCAAGTATATTTATTTATATGAGACATAAAAAGAATTTAGATTTAATTAGGAGTAGAAATCCAATCAAAACACAACTCCTCCCTGTAGGAGAACGCCATCCGTTGGCTAGAACTCTAAGTACCTATGTTTCATGTAGAAATCTGTCCTTGTTGAAATCTAAGTATACTTTTGGGATAAATATATGATTACCGAGATTTAATCTTAGCGTTTAAGTCAGGTCTAGGAGACTAAATGTAGTGGCATCAGAGTTTTTCACATGTTTTAAAGAACAAATAGGGTTTCTAATAGTATGTTTACTGTTACAAAATCTGAGATTCACTAGCTATTGAGATAATGACCTTTGAAAGTATCATTTGAGGACTCTTCGATTGATTTGAAGTTGATTAGAAGATATTGAGAGGATCATGGGTGAAGTAGACTTTCAAGCTGAGCTTAAATTAGGGGAGCAATGCCGATTTTTAAGAAAGAAGGTCGTAGATACTGGCAATCAATTCCGTGGTATGCTCGTTAATATTCGATATAGAAAATCAAATAAGAACATATGTTTTATTGTTACTCATATACAATGCTTATTTTCCTGAAAATATGCTCAAGGAATAGTAGTAGGCTCATTCCGATGAGAGTAGGGATAAAACTAGAAAATTTGTTTTGAGTGTCAAATTTAAAATTTTATATAAAGAATTTTTTTGAGCGGAAAAATTGAGTATTACATTTTAGGCTTGTAAATGAACCGAATGAACACGAATGATTGTATGTTTATGTTTGTTCGTTTAACTTGAATCGGACAAATGAACGAACACGAACAACTAAACGAACGAAAATGTAGCTTGTCCGTGTTCCTTCGTTAAAATGATAAACGAACAAAACGAAAACAAAAAAAGAGCGTAAATGAACAAAAAAAACGAACATAAAATTTATTGGGTTTATATTTGAGAAGAATTTTTTTCTTTCCAAATAATTTTAGGATTTATATTTTCTTTAAGTGATTTAAGTACTTTCTATTTGGTTTATAATTAATTGGATTTTAAAATACTAATGAGTTTAAGGTTAAAATTTATTAGGTATTAATATTTCAAACGGATGTGGAGATTGAATTGAATATAAACAATGAACATAAATGAATGAATATAAATAAACAGATTAATGAACGTTCATAAACGTAAATGAATGAACAAGTCCTTTATTCGTGTTCGTTCGTTTAATTAAACGAACATAAAATCTCTTTAATGTTCATTTATTTAATAAATAAACAAACATAAATAACTTTCCACCGAATATTTAATGAATAGTTCGCTCAACATTCGATTCATTTACGCACATATTAAATTTTTTATTGTAAAATATATTTTAAAATGTGTGATCAATTTTCTTTTTTAAAGAGTGTCAATTTTTTTAAAAGTGGTGTCATTTCTTTAATTATATTATATATATATATATATATATATATATATATAATTTATATGGGAAATTTTCTTTTTAAAAAATTGGGGGTGTCCATTGACATCCCTCAATGTATACTGGCTTCGCCAGTGAATGAGAAACAATAAAAAAAGGTTTGTAATAGAAGTGTTGATATTTTTATGATTTACAAATATTTATAAATTTTTAATAATTTCTTAAATTCTTATTTTCTTTTTAAAGATTAAATTACTCTCTACAATTTTTATTAAAATCAATTATGCGACTCAACTAAAAAAATTAATTAAATATCTCTTTCAAATCATTACTTACATTTGAATATCACGTCAGTAGAGTGATTGTCAATTTAACATTAGACTATCATATTTTTATTATAACAGTTAACATTGATCAAAAGATAAAATTAACAAAATTAAACTAAATCGAGAATAAAATTAATGTAATTAAAGATAATAGAACAAAAGTATTGATTGGATTTATTACAAGGCATAAGGACCCCTGAACAAAAAATTTAAAATGCTAAAAGTAGTCCTATAGTGATGTTTTGTATAAAAGAGATGGTAAATGGCTAAAAAATAAATTAAGTGATTTGATTTTAAAAAAAAATTAGAATCGTGTCTAAAAGTGATCTGGTTCTATATGTATTGAAATATGTAGGCCAATTTTATCTCATTTTCCATCTATCATTTTTATATCTTTTCTATTGCGTCTCCTCCTCCTAATATACTCTCGTCATTTCTTTTTTTAGTATTATTTTTTATTTCTCTTTTCATTTTTGCAAAATTTGTGTTCATTATTCACTACCGTCGCCCTCAACAGTTGTCTCTTTAACCCCCATTTTCTAGCTATGAACCTTTCTAAATATTAGGATAATTTGTAACACGAATTTAAATAGTTGTTATAATCGCATTTTCAATTGTACTTATTACGGATAATTGTTATGGTCATTATTGATATCACGATAATAAAATAGTGATTTTAAATAATATTTTTATTGTTATATAATAATCATTATTTTGATAATGAACCGTTATTTAAATCGGTCTCTCGATTTGAGATTTTCATCCGCCTCACCCAACCCTTTAGCCATCCCTAGTCTTAATCAAGGCCGGTCTTACACTTCCTTTGATACTTTGATCGTCTTTTTAGGTCAAATCCCTTGCATTGTAATCATGTTTTAGAACTGGCCCATGCTTTTTAAATGCAAAATTTTGAACAAACAAATTGCAATCAGACAACCATATTAAAAAAAAAAAAACTTTATTCGGTCTCCCGTTTGTTTTTATATATTTAGATAATCAGCTGCAAAATCAATGATAATGATATGTAGACATGTCATTATAAGATAATGTCATATCATTATTGAAAAATAAATAAAAATATTATATCAGCAGTATGTTTATTTTTTAATGGCAATTGATCAAATGGAACCACATGTAACTTAAGGTATGATTTTGAAAACAAAATAGTTAAGTGACCAAAACAAAACCAAAGTGATTGTTGAATGACTAAATATGTAATTTACCCTTAAATTTAAGTAATTTATTTCATCTCACTTGGTAATCAAAGTCTATAAATCAGAAGTTAAGTGAAGGAAAATACAGTTGGGGTCTGAGCCGAGTTTAATTTTTGCCGGTGCAATCTGCCCCACAAATTTAAGGGGAATGACGCATTAATTACTTGAAAAAGATTATCCTCAACAAGTTCAGCATCCAATGAGAGTTGGAATTACAGCACCCCCAAACATGTCCAAGAGGCATACAGCTTCCAGCTTTATGTGTTACTATGGTTTTTTAACCGAAATGTAATTTGGGTTACAAAAAGTAAATGAAGTGAAATTATGCTTCTTAGTATTCCCATTCAATCATAAACAATACCCAAAATTGGCATTTGGCAATGAATCAAGATGAGAGGGTCCACGAGAAAAGAAAGAATATATCCCCTTGATTGAACCCATACCAAACAAAATTTTGCAGTTATACAAAATAAGCTTTCCATTCCTCAAATCATTGCTTACCCAAATGCAGGCCTTCCTCTAAATTTCAACTCCCCAATAGTTTCTTTTTTAAACCCTTTTAGTTATTGCCTCCCACGACCTCTCCATGATTGCAAACTTCCATATGTGTCTTTTTCAATAAGGTTCTTCTAAGCACCTTCACCATTGCCATTCTCTCTTATGATTTTTATCAATGTCAAACTCTGAATCTGAAGTTTTTTCGTCTCCGTCTTCTGATTCGGCTTCCGAGCCATCCCCGGTTAAGGTTCAACTGGTTTCTAAATTGGTATCGGACCGACTTCTTGATAAGTTCTTCGATGTGTCGGAATTCAACTTCGATTACTCCAAGAGTGGGATTTGGTCTCCCCCTGTTCAAAGAAGTGTCTTCATAAGCTCCCCTGGGAGAATATTCAATGAACAAGAGATGCTCGAAAGGCTCAAAGTTGTAATGGAAAGACGTCGTAGTAGTAGAAGATTCAATGCTTGTTTCAACGTATGATCACTATTTCATTCATTTCGAGAAGTGGGATTCGGCTCGAACTTGGATTAGATTCGAGAGCTTTCGATGAATCTGTTGAACTTGTTCTTGTTGTTTTTGCAGGCATCTTGCTGTTCTTGAAGCAACAGTGAAGGTTTTCTTATTACTCTGTAAGTTCATTTCAACAACAAAAGGCAAAAAAAAAAAAAAACAGAGAAAATTAAGCAATTCCTTTATGTAAATGTTATAATATTTAGTGAGAAATAGTAGTATACATTTGCTTACTAGCTCATCTGCAATTCATCCTTTTCTTCTTCTGGTAATTTTCTTGGGAGTGTTTGTTTTCTTGGAAAATAGCAAAAACCCAACATTGCAATCTGAACAACAGCTTCTGATTGTTCATCCAATGTCCGAAAACACCTTTTCTCTTTGTTGAGCATCATTCTGCGGTGTCTTTCTTTATTTAAAACTGTAATGAATTTCTACTTTTAATGTTACATATAAAAGGAACTTCTGATTCAAGCTATGTGCATGAACTTTTAATATTTAAAAAAAAAGGTTGAATCTCATATGGTACCTCTGATTCTGTCTGGTTAATGGAAGAAAATAAAAAGATGCCAATTTGGAATCACATGGAAATCACATGCTGATCATGTGCTTCATGTAAGCAATCCCTAAAATTACAACTCATTCAATTTCAGGCCAAAAAAACTTTGGTGGGGTCCTATGAAAAATCTGGATGCAATTTACAATGAGAAAATCAAATTTGATAGGAAAGCCAAGGGAAAATCTTGTTTTTTTATTACAGAGCCAAACTGGTCCCCTCTTTTGATTCTTCATTCTAAGAAACCATTTTTTTATTTTGCAGAAAAAAGATGTACCCTTCTTCAAATACTTAATTTGGGTATAAAGGTAAAAAATATAGAAAAGGGCATCAAGAAAATTCACAGGAAAGAGCTTTCAGAGTTTCAAAATTTGTACTTTTACTGTTCTCTTCAAGCAGTGAACTTTCATCAAGTCCTATGAAGCAATGGAAGTACCTGTCAAAGGTTGAAAAAAGTAATGTATTAATGATCTATGGGGGAACAATGGAGCCCCTGATGATGTGCACCAATATGTACATGCTCTTTTTGTAATAATAGTTCATGGAATCATCACCTTCCAACTTGCAAAATGTTCAACAGAGATTCTCCCTCCCCTACTTTTAGTACTATTTCCATACATTCCCTACACTTCTCTAACATGTACCAAAGTATTTGTAAGAGTTTAGGTCTAGGCAGTGTTTTGAGGTATGTAAACAACAATAAGATCTTTGATGAGATGAACATCAAGCATAGAGCGACCTTTTCTAATAGATCATCCACCACATTCATGTGTAATTGTTTAGAGGTATTTCAAAAGCCACGTTCACTGCGATCTGCTGTCGATTTTCAGGCAACGGCACTTTGTCCCAAACTTTCTTTGCCTCTCATGCCATCTTTCAACGTTTGGAAATAAATGCTGTCTGTAGTCCTTCTCTGGGGGTGGGCTCACTAAATGGAACCACACTTTTGACCTGTAAAAGACCAAACATTATACATGAACAAAATCGAAAAAACAAAATGCCGGGCAGCTTACGTTCAACCGAGGTATATGTTGAGCCCAGGATATAGTAGACAACAGCATAAACACAATGCGAATATTGCTAAACAATATAGTCAATTCCTTAAGCTTTGCTTTGTGTTCTTTTTAATGTTCATACAAGATCAGGATTAGTGACTTCTGATGAATTTTAACATTGAATTTTAATTCGTTCTCGGCAGTTTAGTTGAAGGGATTTAAGATTTTGAATGTCTTAACCAAATATGGTGCAATCTGATTCATCCCAATGGAAAGCTACAATCATCTGTAGTGAAAATATGATTTAGCATTGTAGCAATACACTAACCTCAAATGTCTTGTCACGTGCATATGGGGTTTCCAAGGCAGCAATACATATGAGAGCAATTTCTTCTCTCGACATCTTTCCCTGTATTGCCAGATAATGTAAACAGCTTTAGCAAGAAAACGGAGTTTCTGCCTCGTAAAAATGTCTATACTTGGGAAACAAGTTACGAGGTAGGACTGTATCCACCTTATTGGCGGTCAAATGTTAATGCTAGCGGAACCAGTTATGTAGTAGAACTATAAGAAAGAAAATCTTTCCTTGGATGTCCAACATTAAGCACTTGTTAAGAATATTAGACAAGCTTAAACACGGCTAAATATTCAGCATCCGTCCAATGACATACCGTTATATTGTCTCCTTGATCAAAAATGAGATCTGCTCCGGCAGGCTCTTCGGTTAATGCACAAGGCCTTACAATTGCGTAAGGAATTCCACTCTCACGTAATAAATCCTCCCCCTGCTCTGGGGAAAAGTAGAAGGTATAAAGAAAAACACTGATTCCCAGCTTCATATGAACTCTCAATCTATTTCTGACACTACTTTGAAAATGCATTATTTATAGGGAAAATTATACCTCAGATATCATACATTGAAGCATCTCTACTGTTCAATTGCGGAAACTTTCTAGTTTTGAAACCAATGCAAAGTTCATATACTCGGTATTTTGTTTCATAATGGAAAGCATTATGCAGCTGACATTTTGATCACTTCAACAAATAATTTAATGCTTATAGCATGATGCACAGATAGAATTGCATGCGTAGAAAATAACCTTCAACTTGAATGTTAGGACAAAATCCAATTCCTTATTCAAGCGCACAGCAGGAGGTTGTTTCCTCAGGTCAATGCCAGGCCTGTCGGGTCTAGTAACTCCTGCAGAGCTCACGTATACGAACCTACGAGTGAAGCAGCAGATAAATAATCAAAAACAAAAAAGTCTAGACCCGATAATGGAAAGAATCTGATAAAATGAGGAGAAAATAATATTAACCTGGGAGTGATAGGATCCTTCATGTATGCTTTTATGCTTGAGAGTTGAAGCTCAAAAGGACCTTCTACAAAAGTGGGATTCAGTTTCCCATCATATTCAAACTTGCTGAACATGAGCTGCAATGATTTTGCATTCCTCGTGAACAGTTTGGTGAAACGGAAAAATCTAGAAAGATCAGAAAACATAAACAGCTAGACACAGTGGCAAACCTGAAATGATACAACATTGCTTGGATCGAAGGGTGGGGCATCAGATACAGTCCGTGCTCGAAATATAGGCCTCAGTGTAGAGAATGACAAACGAATCTGTAAAGAATCAAAGAGTTACAAGCTGAATGGATAAGATAATTTGTTTGATAATGCTGATGTGTAGAATTAAAAGCTTTTTCCCATAGCCTGCCACCGCCGTCCACCCTTTTTCACCGTCAGCGGTGTGCACAATTGCCACCATCGTGATCACCACCGTCCTGCAACCAAAACCCAATCGACCACGCCCTGTGAAGCCCCTCCGTTTTTCGTGAAAGACGCTTTGAAGGTTCAACGAAAAACTATAGTTTCTCCACGATTTTTGGTTGATCCGTCGTCGTTCAACCATCGGCGAGCGACACTGTCATGACCATCGTTCTTTTCCACACACAATGAGCCTAGTGTAAGTGATTATGGATGTAGTTTTGGGAGTTGCATATTAAGTCATTAAACTTGAACAAAGCATCAATTAAACCCTTTAACCAACAAAAATTAGTGTTGATTGTTATTTTTTACTGTGATGACTTGTCAAGAATGTTGACATGTTAGTTAACAATATTGATGTGATAATTAACGATACTAATATGATTGTATACATATGGATGATGATTTGGCACCGAGACTTAATTTACATTTACAGGTTAATTTATCTTTTAAAAATATTAAAATTAAGATGATATTAAAAATATTAAAAATCATTTAAAAACTTAAATATTTTTAAAATATTATAATATTAAAAATACATAAATAAAAATATTATTAAAATTTTAAAAATTAAAATTAAAAAACAAAAAAAGCTATAATATAGTAAATTATTAAAATTTAAAAATATTTATTAAAAAAGTTAATAGTTTCATAAAAATATATTTAACTATCTCTTGTCAACTTGAGTCTTATGCTAACATTATTTTCGATAAAACGATTATACATTAAAGTAACATGACTTTTGGATTCCTTACTATAATTTTAAAATAATGAGATAAACCCAACTACTACTTGATCTAACGGAATGAGACACTAAGTTCCTTAAACAATGTTAATGGTTTAAATTATGTCGTTGTGAATGAAGAAAATTGAATTGGGATTATCGTTTCATAATGAACTTCTTTAGTATTTGATCTGAATTAATTTATCATGAATCATATATCGATCATTATAAAAAAAATAGTTGGGCAAAGTTTGTATCAAAGTGATATTCATGAGTCAATTTTAGGTCTTAAATTTTTAATTTTAGATATAATCGACATAATAAGATGGCATGGATCTGAGTTTCCATGTTAAAACACAATTTCTTAATAATATATTGCATAAAACAAAGAAAAAAATACAATGGACTAAGTAGCCACAGAGAAATTCAAGTATATATAAGTCTAAAAACTCAAATTTGAGGTATATTAGTAAGCATCAATTTGATGCAAACAACTCCATCTGTTTTAAATCATATGAGGGAATATGATAGGCTTTTGTTGTTCTGATACAATACTGAATTCATTGAATATATGTTTGAGAGATTGCCAAATATTTTGTCTAAGGAAAGAATTATTAACATTATTGTACTTTTTATTTTTTTATTTTAATTTCTTATGATTCTAATACTTTTTTTTTTGAATTTATTAATTATATTTTTTTATAATTTTATAATATATATAATTTTTAAATATTTTTTATATTTTCTTAAGGATCAAAGAAATCTTCAATTAAAAAAAATCATTAAATCCCTCCCCCACATCAGTAATCAATCATATGTAGACCACTACATCAATATTGTTACTTGTCACATTAATAAAATAATAATTAGTGATGATTTTGTTGATCAAATTACTTAATTGATGTGTTTTACAAGTTCAATGGCTCACTTAGATGCAATTTTCACGAATAGGCTCAATTGATATTCTTTAAAAAGGTTGAAGGGCTAAAAAAAAACCTTAACCCATTTATATTTGATTATTAATTTACATCTAAAGAATAAGAAATGTTTCTTTACTATTTATTTATTTATTAGTCATAAATAAAATTCTAATATTTATAAACATATTCAGTTATATATTTCTGTACAATTGTTATAATGTCCGTAAAAATTAAATGAATGAACACATGTGCACGAACCAACATATTTCAGTGATTAAAGGAATCATTATTGTTCTTAGAGGTCATGAGTTCGAGTACTAGTAGCTTTAAGAGGGGGATTGAGCGTTAATTGTCAAATTGTTAAGAGTATTTAAAATAAATATTACTTTGTAATCACCTAAACTTAATAAAAAAATGAACACGTGCATAAATAATTTTGAATAGACGAATACATTTTTTAAAATTTTTTAATAAACATGAACCAAACACGAATAATATAAAAAATAATCGAACTAATATAAATAAATATATATCCGTTCAAACTCAATTTATTTAGTACCCTAAATATTGAGTTTCATTGCACGTAAAATTTGAAATGTTTCAACTATATTAATGGGTCCAATACCATACCTTAATGTCGATAAATGCAGAAGGATAGATCATCCTTATGATATTGAGTACCTTAGTAAAAAGTGGCGTAACTATGATATTACGACACAAATAATGTCCACGAAATCGGTAATTGAAAATATTCGATTCATATAAATTTCTAATATCAGTAATTGAATTTATTCACGAAATAAATTTTTAATAAAAAGTATAAAGAAAATATTTAAAATATATAAAAATTTAATTTTTTTTAAAGGAAATGACTGTCCCATCGATCCATGGCTGCGTCTATGTATGTCCATGTTCAAAACCATTGTTATTGTTCTTTAGTCTTATCTATTTCAGCTCGTCATTTCGCGATATTCTTTTGCCTTTGCGTCTGTATAAAAAACATTTCCATTTTCAGGTGCTGTTACGGTTGCTTGCTTACCTTGATCTTTAACCAATGAACCAGCCCCCCACTAACAGACAAGGGTTTAGTAAGCTCAAAACAAGTGATTGGCCATTAAAAGGACAATGTACCATGTCGTTTTAAGGTTTTCTTACGTTATCTTAAACATCCAACACATGTTTGGCCATATTTTATTTGGTTTAGATGTCATAGAAGATTACTACAATTGAAACTCTTGTTTTTTTCATTATATTTTTGTGATGAATCTTATCTCCTTAAATAGACTAAAAGAAAGCTACTCATGTGTTGAAAATGGTTTCCTAGTTTAAGAAACTAACTCAAAAAATGTGAGGAATTTCAAACATATGAAAGATTCCACTCACGGAATATCCTTAATTCGTACTCATCGTAAAATTTAATTTTTTTTTTAATAATTTACCTTAAAATTTAATTTTTACATATCCCATAAAAAAATTAAAAATTTATTTTTACATATCCCATAAAAAATGTACGGATTCGGCATCCAACTTCACAATCAAGCACTTTAGTGCTGCACTAGTGAAACCCGAAGCCTAACCAAGTCAAAACAAAGTCAGATTTAGGTGATGAGTAACTGTCTGGACCAAAATTTAAGAGTTGGCGGCGGTGCATGAAACTCTTGCCCCCCAAAAAAAATCCGGCGGCTGTAGTGGCTCCCCATCTGCCTAACTTTTTTTTATCTCTTCATTTATCATGTTTAAACGATCAATCATTATAAATATTAATCAAACTTAAAAATGATAAAATTTGGTTAACGAAAATAAATCGATCTCATCGACTCATATATTCCACTTTTTTTTTAAATTAGATAGTATTCTGACTTATGAGAGGATGATCATTGACCAATGTTTCTTTATAAGAAAAAATTGATCATAAGGAAAAATAATAGTGAGATTGTTTGGATTGTTCAAGGTTCGGTTTCCTTTTCAATCTTGATTGAAAGGTATGACAGTAACATTAATTGATGGTGTGGCACGTAAAATAATTGTAATTATTTATAGGTTAGCAAACTAAACAAATCTAATCATTATATCTTGGATTTCGCTCTTTAATGTCACGTGAAACTATTAAAAATTTTATTTATATACTAATAGTTGACTCAAAGGATGTGGACACTGAAAATTTCGATAAACATAGGATTTGTCTGAAGGCCTTTTGTTAACAGAGAATTAACGATTTTCAAAAATAATTTTTGAAAGTATAACAAACCTGAATTTAATATCTTAAAATTCTCAAAATAAGATTTCACTGGCGACACTAAATTTTAATAACTAAATTCATTAGTTTCGTTCTTATTAAAAAACAATAGTTAAATGGAAAGGGAAATATTAACAGAAATTCATTTGTAGATTTTAGTATAACACTTGCATCTAATTTATTGATGATTTAATTTAGATGATTTGTAAATTTTAATGTTTTACTTAGGCACCTCCCTTGGCTCCACTCTATATATATTTCTACGCCAAACCCCTTTGGGAAGGCTGGAAAACATAACATTTCCTGTTTTCTTCGACCTTTTGTTCAACTTCACCATTAAAACCCAGATTCTATCTCCGTATCTGCAACTGTTTTAACACAAATTCATGGCTCGTTTCACTTCTCTGATTCTTATTTTCTTGGTGACCCTTGCTGCTTCATTTATGCCACAAATGGAAAGTAGGAAGCTACTATTAAACACAGGGGAAAGCAATGAAAACGTTCCTTCATTGTTTGCAAGCTTGTTGCTCAATGCCCTTCCCAAGGGTACCGTGCCGGCGGCTTCAGCTCCTAGTAAGAAGGGTCAGTCGACAACGCTCGATAACGAGAAGCTTTTCACTCGTCACCTTTCCGGCATTGATCGGATTCTGCAATCTGTTCCAAGCCCCGGCGGTGGCCATTAGTATCTCCCCCGTTTCCTTTTTATCTTCATACACTGCCTTCTTTTTCTCTTTGTTTGTTTGAATATTTTGTATACAGATTTCTCTATTTTTTTTTCTTTTAGTTCTTTTTATATCAAGTTTAGGCTATTTTGTTGTTCACATATTTAGAAGTGTTTAGTCTGTTAGTAAGACTTCATTTATTCTTTCTTTGAGATTATATCCTTTCAATTGGGATTGATTTTGGTATATCCCTTTGATCATTTTCAATGCCATTGCCATTGATCAAAGCATTAAAGTGGGACACTTATTGCTAGTGCAGCACTTTTATTCCGAAACTTATGATTATAAAAAAAATTGGTTTGGAAAAAGATATATTATTAATTTGGAGATTGTTTTCAAGAAGTTCTTAGTTGTATGTGTTGATTTTCAGAATAACAATTTAAGGTAGAAGTTAATGTTAGATAATGAGCTAACTTCCTTTTTGTTTTTGTTTTTTAAAAACTATAAGGACTAAATTCTAATAAAATAAAGTGGAAGGACTAACTTATCAATCATTGTAAAATAGAGGGTGGGGATTAATCATTAAACCTTTTCTTTAATCCAATTCTTTTGTCTTGCATGAATGCTAAAGCTAGCCCTAAGAGTGCGTTTAGTTCACGAAATGTAATATTACTTACGGGAATATGATTACCGGAATGTAACATTACCTAACACATTAGTGGGAATGTTGATTTATTTGGCAGGAATGTAAAATTACAGTGTTTGGTTGAAGGAATAAAAGATTACTGAAATGTATATTTTACCAAATTGTCCTTGTTCTATTTTTTTAACAAGTTGAATTCTAAATATTTAAATGAAAACTATTTATATAAAATTCATCAATTATATATTATTTTATTATTTAAATATATCATGTATTATTTTAATTTTAATTAATATTAAATTTTACATAATTTATCTAAACATATATTAAAAATTTACATCAACATTTAACTAAATAAGCATATGAACATTGTAATAGATGAACCATTTTACTCCTACCAAAATGTACAAAGATGACTTTAGAGAATATTTTTAATTTATTAATTATAAAATATATTATTATTAGTATTAAAAAATTATATTTTTCATTATTAGTATTAAATAAAAACGAGTCACTTGAAACTAAAAGGGTGAAACATTAATATCACAAAAATACATACAAATGTATACTTATGTGTTACATATACTAGAAACAAAAAAGCAAACTAGTTGCATGTGTATTTTCATGCTTCCCACTTATAACTCTAATATCCAATGGAAATCTTTCCCAACTTCTCGCTATGTACACTCAAGAATCAAATTGCACTTTTCAAGCACATCAAGAACTTCTTTATCATTCCAAGAATCAATTTTGTAAGATCCATTTTCCAAGTACAGAATCCCACTAGCCAATACAATAGGAATGTGGTTTTTCAAAGAGGAATTAACTTCACAAAAAGTGTTGTAGAATTCAAGCTGCATGGAAGGAAACAAAAAACTTAACAGTGTGTAAAAGATACATGGACACTAAGAGTATAAATTTGCACATACACCTACCCCAGTGCCTAAATCGTGTATAAATTTGCAAATAAATATAATATACCCAACAAGCAAAGGATTAAACACCAATCTAACAGATTTCTACTCCACTAATTCAATACTGTGAACTAATTCAATCAACAAATGTGAAGAATCCAACAACAAGCAAAGGGAAAATGATCAAAGGAGATTGAAGATGATGTTAGCCGCACTTGTAAATAATGTTGAGATTTTGAGAAAGACAGTTACAGATACGAAAATGATGGATTTCTCTATTTCAAAAACCAATTTGACATATATGAATTATTATTAAGCTATTCATTTTCTAAAATCTAAAGAAACAAAGACCTAGAAATTAAAACAAACACAATACACTAATAGTAATAAATTTGTTTGAATGCCAAAATTATTCATCAAAATAGATTTTGATTTTAAAAAACCTGAGTGCAGGACAACTTAAAGACACCAAACAAAAAATACAACAAAACAGGGGTTTTACTCTGCTTGGTGAATACTGTAAACATTCCAACTATACTTAGTAATGTAGAAGTTCTACACAATGGTTCAAGAATCAAAGGATTAAAAGAATTCAAACACAAATCACCAGAAAACTTATCGCATCCATCATCTGTTAGGCCACATCTTCCAAGATTTAAGTATGCCAATGATTGCATGTCACATGAAATTATTATAATTCCTGGAAATTCGGTAATTGCTCAAACTCCATAGACTTGCTAACAACTCATTATTTTTTATGATATGATGAAGTTTGATCTTCTATGCATGATAATGATAGAGAGTTTATCCTTATCCACCTATCTCACAACTCTAAGACATTACATCCACCTACTGGTTTCCCCCATGAAATACATGTCATTATATCTGAAGGCACATCCATGTTCAATGTATAACAACTACAAAATGTACTGTTAAATTATCAGTAGAGGTAAGTAATGAGAACATACCTGAGATGGAATCCAAGCATGCAGCAGTAACGTTACATCCCTTCAGATTCAACATATTAAGTTTGTTCAAACCTGCCATGGAAATTAATGTTAGTATATAACATAATATGTTTAATTCTTTAGGTCATCTGGTCTTATTAAGATAATAGATTATTTGTACAGGAAAGAAGATTAAGATGCCATCACTAGAAGACCTTGAAGACTATGACCTAAAAGGTAAGATGTATTAATCATGTTACATTCAATGTATTAGGAACTGAAACCAAGAACAATGAATATAAACAAAGAGAAGTCATATCCTTTTATATAACACAATGGACGACAGTGTGTGTCCACCATGCAAAAGAAAATGTAGATAAATACCTCTCAAATAAGACAACCTAGAATTAGTGATGTTACTATTTGATATATGCAGCTCCTCTAGATTATTAAGCCCTAAAATAAAACAAAAACATAAAGCCATAACCAAAAAAAAAGAAAAAAAATCTAGAATATAATATAAAGAATCATGCTTGAGGCTCAGCTACATACCTTGAGATCCACATTTGAGCGTGAACGCAAGACAGAAATTAACTCAGGATCTAAACGGATATTGTGCCATTTTCCAGTACCATGCTTAAGAACTCCTGCCTTAGTGCAGCTTCTTTTTCTGCTGTCCATTTCTTCATCTGTTTTTCTGATAGAAAAGGGAAATCAAAGAAGAAGAATGCTTCTCTCGCCAAATCGAAGAATGTGGTCTTTGAAATCGGAAGAGAAATTATACTCTGTGAGTTTCTCTTGCCAAATCGAAGAAGTGAATTTTTTCCATACAGAAGCAAGCAAACGGGAGAAGTTATCCCATTAAGCACGGGAATAAAGAAATACCTAGGTGAATGGGAATAATATTCCCAGTAATCCAGACCCAAAAAACACTGTTGGTAATAACTTTTTACCCTCACTTGGGAATGTGAATCATCCAAACATGGGTATCTTTAACCCGGAAAAAAATATTATTGCCAGAAATCCAAAAATCCATTAACCAAACACCCCCTAAAGGTCATCAAAATGAGTGGGGTAGAAAGCATGGTAGTGGGGATTTTGATCCCTAAATTCTAAGATGAAGCTCGTGGAATTTCTTCAGTACCTTGCTAATTAAATATTTAATCAAAAGCACCAAGCTAATGAATTCCAAGCAGGGGCGGATACACTAAGCCCCCTAGGGGTCAAGTGCATCCCTATTATTTAGGGGAAAAAAGTGAAATTTAGTATAATATGTTAAAGAAAAATAGAAAAAATAAAATTTTTTGCACCCCCATTATTTTTAAGAAAAAGAAATTAAAATTTTGGACTCCCATTTATAAATTTCTGGATCCACCACTGATTCCAAGGTTTGGAAAATTATGGAACTTACCAGCTATTTTTCTTCTACAAAATCAGTCTAAATTTGTACGACTTAATTAAATAATAAGTAAGTCGAGAAAGTTTTGTTACTTACATTGTTAAAAAATTTAAATCATAGATCAAATTGATTAGACTTATAATTTTCAGTTTATCTTATTGAATCGTGGCGATTTTACTGATATATTACCGTTGAACAGTATATTTCCCGATCAGGCACCGTTCAGACTATATTTCCCGATCTAACACCCTTTGCAGAAAGGCGCGACCCCTGCAACGCGCTTTACGTTGATTTGGTGCCACGTGGGGTAAGGCGCCCCCTGAAGCGCGCCTTATGCTGAAATGGTATACACATATGTACAGGGAGTATAACAAGGTACAGGGGCCGCGCCTTACCCCAGAATCTGCCACGAGTTAGTAAGACGCGCCCCCTACTGTGTACCTTGGGTATAATTACCCACCTACCCCGACATTTCACACCCCAATCTGTAACACCCCCAACCCGTACCCGACCCGAATACGATTTTGAGGTTTCACATTGACTTTTCAAACTTTGACTCTTAACAAAATTCAAAGAAAATTTAAAAATTTCATTAAAATAAAAGCGGTTTATTTACATAAATTAATCAAAATAATCAAAATCGATCAGAGGATATCCAACTCAATCAATTAGTACATGCAAACTATATTCAAATTAACCAAACACATTTAAATCATCTATTTTTTGATCTGAAATTTTGTAAGGGAGATGCTGACATGTCTTGCTCTTCTTCGCTTCTCTTCTCGCTTCTTTAACCTACGTGTGAAACAATCACACGCTAAGTCTATGAATTAGTGAGGCATTAAATTTATAAAGGAAACTCTAAATGCTTAAACATGTATGAACATATTACTTCATGATGTCACATAATCATTATATATAATATAATGTACACATATACACATCACACATTATTTCCATCATTAATCTTATTCTATTATCCACATTATTATCATTTATATCCTTTAATCATACTTTTCATCAACATATGACTCATTTAAACCATACGTACATCATCATAACAATCATATAATACAGTTCATATCACAAAAACATATACGTCACCATTACCATCTTTA